ACCATACACGCAGACTTTCTGTGCTTTTATTCCAACGTGTTTCTGCATTCTTGGTAAATCGTGCCACCACAAGTGAATTATCAGTAAACAATAAAGCAGATGTAGAATCAGGAAGTGAACAAATATTGGATCAAGACACCGACAACAACTCTACAAGCATTAGGAGAAAGAAAAAGTTCTGTAAATAATTTGAACACAGAATCCAAGGGCCCTCACACCGAGGACCTATCCATGTCATCATTTACCCAGAATGCTTTGTGTGTAAATAAAATGGCTCCGTCCGTGTTAAAATATATTTTTAAAAATTTACAAAACTAAACAGCCTACAGTATTTTTACAGTCTTTATTTTACAGTTAAAATATATCTTTATCAAATAAAGTTTAATGTTACAACTAATCCTAACACTACTTCTTTAACAGTGTTTTTGCTTGTGCCTATTCTGATGGAGAAAAAAACAATTTTCGCTTTTCAGACAGTTTTCGAGAAGCGAGTTGTGTTAACAGCACTGCTGTTTTGAGTGAACGCCCTTATGTTTAGACAACTGATTAATCACACAATGCTAAATGCTACAGAAAGATATGAAACCTGTAGCACCCACTGCTGTGTAGCCTTTGAGATGTCAATAAAAGCAGACAGGGGAGAAAGCACCTTGGGAGAAGGAAGCAGCTGTCGCTGCAGAAAGACTGTCTCCCCTTGTGCAAGTAAAACTTTAACCTGGTGCTGTGTCCGTTGGTGTCTCTTCTCAGTTCCATTGGGTTTTAAAGTGTCTTAAACCTGGCGGCTAACAAATCTCACAAGATCTTGCAACATTACATGAAACTGATATGCATTGTGGCTTTTAATTTGGACTGGAAGAGGGCTTAGTACTTATTGCCTCACAGCCAGAATGATCTGGGATGTTTCTGTGTGGAGTTTGTATTGTCTCCTCCTGCATGGGTTTTCTCCGGGTACTCTGGTTTCCTCCCACAGTCCTAAAACATGCCTGTTAAGCTGCCTTCAGGCCTCCCTTGCAAAAGAGATCAGTGATGTCAAAGGGAATTGCCTGGTTAAGTTAGAAATTTATTGCTTTATGTTGATTTTTTTTGTATTCATATATTTGTGCCAACCTGTTCTATGTGAGCCACAATAAAAATATATATTTTATTGTACATGCTTCATTGTCAGTCAATTAAACCTTAGATACAGTTACGTGACTGATCTCATGTTCATGGCAGCAGTGATTGCATTAATGAACAAAGTGTCACATCACATCAGCTTTCGTATCAGGAATTTTTTTAATCACACCCTGAAACAGAACAAAGGTTCTCTCGAAGAGAAGGAATACATGGAGTTTGACAGAGAACCCCAGCCTGAATGACGCTCAGGATTTTATTCTCAGCAGCAGGATAACGACAGGCCTCGGCGCTCCACATACAATCAGAGGGTCTGACAGGATCAAAACCACAGCAGAAACAGAAATAAACACTGCAGCCACGAGAAGACAAAAAGAAAAAAAAATGTCGTCACAGAGAGCATGTGATCTGGTCCCCTAAAGCGTCCTCTTGTCTCTGGGATGGCTGTCAGTAAACCACGCTTCGTTTCAAGATGTACGGCCTCCGCGACTTGGTGTTGTGCCCGGTTTGCCTCTTCAGGATGTAAGGGGATTTTCGTTTCAGCGGAGCGTCGCTGCTCTCCTCTGAGTATTCCGCAGAGTCTCGGAGTAGCTGCAAGGAGCAGAGAGAAGACATGGCGCCCGGGGTGAGCCTCACACGACGTGGGAGGAAACGGCAAACGCGTTTTGCCGCTGCGAGGCAGGAGATCGGGCAGCAGGGATTAAAGACGAGCGGGCACTCTGCACAGGCCATGTGTGGCGTAAGAGCTACTAATCTGCAAGCATTGAGCTGAGATTTAAGGACAAAAAAAGAAAAACCTGTCTGAAAGGAAGATGATGGAGGATGTGTAGAGGGCGCAGTAATGAAAAGTGTTTTCCACAGCAAAGGGTACACTTGACATTTCTTTCTTTCATTCTTTCTATTGGAGTACTGTATAAAGTAAATGAGTTATTCAATGATAAAGCTCTGTATATATTATATAATACAATAATTGTTCCTCACTTGATTTACTATGTTGAAGTCTGGGGTAAAGCATGTAAAACAAATCCTATTTTTATTTTACAGAAAAGAGCAGTAAGAATCATCACCAGAAAACATTACAGTCACCCTTCGAATGTATTATTTTGTAAATTAAAATAAATAAAAATTTTATGAGTTGGTTGATTATAATATTTTGCAGCTTATGTATACGACTCATAAAAATGTAGCCTTTAAACATCCAGTTATGTTTTGTTAAGTGAGAAAGTTCTTATAATCTGAAAGGACTTGAGATGTTTGTGAAACCTAGAAAAAACTTGAAGGACCGATGAACTGAAGTGGCAAAAAAAAGTTAAAGAAATATGAAACTCTATAATGTATATCTAAGTTGTTGTTTGAGAATGAATTGAAGTTTTTATTTTGTTGTTTGTTTTTTTCTTTTTAATTATTATTGCTTTAAATTAATTAGAAAAAAGGGGCAGAAATTATAAGATTTTTTCTTCTTTCTGCCTCCTTTCATTTCAGTTTGATTTGTATATTTTTTAGTTGTATATATATATATTGTGTATATCTTTTGTTTTTTAATGTGTACACAATTTTTGGTTTTAAATTAAACGAATAAACAATTTAAACTAAACTAGATTTATGTCAGTGTGGTCCACGTGTTTAAAGGATGTTTTTATAGTAAGACAGGCTTTCATTGGATTTGGCCTCTCTCTACGTATGAGTGGTAATTATGAGATAAACACAAGAAACATTAAAGTGTTTGAAAGTTCTACATCCAAGCTAAGAGTATGGGTCTGGATGGTAATGAATCATATCACAAAAACACTTTGGTTCAGTTTGATGCCACAAATATTTTACATTTACATTAATTTATGGAGTTTTCATTGGGGTCACCAACACAGAACCAGAATATTTAGTTCAGTCATAAATGTATGATGGGTTTTAACTTAATCTAAAGAGATTTTTAAGCTTTTAGGGAATAGGCTATTATTTGAATCAGCTTTGGTCTAAAGAAAGAACACCCCTTTAAATTGAGAATAAAAATTGGATTTTGACTTCAGACTGAGAAGAAAACTGAGGACAGACTCACTTTTTTTAACACTCAGCCAACGATAAGCCCCTGAAGACATCTTTGTTGTTTATAAAAAAGTTATGAGCTGCAGTTAAACACATTTTAATGTTAAAAAAATATAAATAAAAGCATTTTCGTATGTGTGTGTGTGTGTGTGTGTGTGTGTGTGTGTGTGTGT